TCATGATTAATATTAATATTTTGTGAGAATGTTTGTATGTAGAATCGCTTACCTTAAATAAGATAGTTTCATATGCTATACTTATTCACTAAAGTACTTCTTCAACTTCTAATACCCAATGACTTGAACAAAGTAAGCCATATATACATATAATGCAAATGGTATTTCTTACCTTCAATGAGATAGTTTCATATGCTATACTTTTTTTTTTTTGAATTGAAGGATGAGATGACTTTTGAAAGGGTGGATTTTCATGGATTGTGAAATTGAAGATCCAAGAAATACTAAAGAAAATTAAGGTAATTCTTATCAAATTTTTGAGTTAACTCAATATTTTACTTATATGATCAAAATAACTCTTACACTTTCATTTTGACTCAAATGTTTCAGGCCCTAAAAGTTCCTTTCATAGAAGCATAGTCACTGTTGTGATTTCCTCCCTCAGTCTCAGTATATCTAACAGTGATTCTTTAAAGAGTGGTAACTATTTTTTTATTACCCTTTAATTTTTATTTGTATGGTAATTATTTCTTATTACCCCTTAAATTTTACTTGTTTCACCTAATGTAATGTTTGGTTGCTTTAATGAAGTATGATGATTTAGAAGCTATACATTTCTTATTAGTTTTGACAGTTAATTTGCTGCAGGACATTAATGAAATTGGTAGAGATGATTAGCTTAAGCCTAAAGTTTGACAGTCAATGCCAATGCTGCCTTCCTACTCTTCTCATATGCTGTGACGCGTTGCTTGGATCCCCCCTTTTTGCCTTGATTAAAAATGCTGATCGGCTTGATGGCTTTCGAGTAATGAATCAGTGTTTGAAGGTGAAATGATGGAGTGTTAAAAGGTGATCCCTTCACTAGATTAAAGCTTTTGACGATGGGATTGTTTTGTATTAGCCAGTGTGTGGTAAGACCAGAGATTTTCTTTTCTTGTCAGATTTCAGGTTAAACAATCTATTTCAGGTCTGCTTTGTTTTCGTGTGCTGATCCTGGTGTAGTGGATACAAATACTGCTAAGTTCAAGCAATGAAGATGGCCATGGAGGGTTTCTTACAACCGGAATGAAACAATCAAGTTTGCTTGATTATTGTATTCAATTTGGTTATTACAATCAGCTAGTGTTTGAATTATTGTTGGTGTAAATATCATTTGAAATAAATACTAGACCAATAATTTAAGGGTAAACTACACGTTTGGTACCTAAATTATGAAATTTGAATGTCTATTAGTACTTTTTTTTATTAATCACTGAGATCGCTTAATAAAATTTATGAAACTTGGATGTCTATCAGGGAATTATACCTTTGGAGTTTGAACATCTCTATTGGAGTGTTGTCAAATTTTAATTTCTATAAGTAGTAAAAGTTCAATATATATTAATCATAATTTAAAAAGTATATATCTTTTGAATTCTTTTAATTGAAATATATAATTTCTCTCTCTCTTTCAATAAACTATATGTTTGCTTTATGTAAAAACATTAACGAGGCTAGCGGTAACAGCAATAGACAACTCCAATGTACTAAAGTTATACATTTTCTTTTGTAAATATCATTTGAAATACATACTAGACAAATAATTTTAAGGGTAAACTACACATTTAGTACCTAAATTATGAAACTTGGATGTCTATCAATACTTTTTTTATTAATTACTGATATCGCTTAATAAAATTTATGAAACTTGGATATCTATCAAAGTTGAAAAACTTCTGCTTATCAGCGAATTATACCTTTAGAGTCTGAACATCTCTATTGGAGTGTTGTCAAATTTTAATTTCTATAAGTAGTAAAAATTTAATACATATTAATCATAATTTAAAAAGTATATATATTTTGAATTCTTTTAATTGAAATTTGTAATTTCTTGTTCTCTTTCAGTAAACTATATGTTTGATTTATGTAAAAACATTAACGAGGCTAGCGGTAATAGCAATAGACAACTCCAATGTACTAAAGTTATACATTTTCTTTTGTAAATATTAAATTAATAAAATAGATTTAACAAATTTAAAAGATTTATTAACCCCATAAATGACGTGGAACTTTAACTCCACCTGTGACAATCCAAATCCCAGTGTGTCTCATTACATAGGTTGGTCATCGTCTGATTAACGATGATAATTTAATATGAAACCGATAAATTTCGACCAGATCTAATTCGATGAGGTCATATTCTTTTAAATAAATTCAGGTTCAGGTTCCGTTCAGATCACATATTATATAGGAATGTTTTCTTTTTCTTTTTCATTTGAATATATATATATATAGGGGTGAGGTCGGGTCGGGTCGAATTCGGATGGAGGGTCAAAATTTTTTGACATGCCCCGACCCGAGAATATAATATAATTTTCCATATAAATTTATGAATAATTGTTATAATATCTCTCTCTCTATAGTTTTTTTAATTAGGTCCTTATTTTATATTGTGTTGAGTCGGGTTGGGTTGGATTTATATTCTAAAAAATCAGGTTGGATCGAATTCGAATGAAAGAATATACCTTCCAGATCGGATCGATTCGGATAGATGATATATATTTCGGGTTGGGTCGGATTAAAAAAACCCGACCCATGACCATCCCTTACGAAGGCGTGTAAGCAAAGGATTAGGCCTGTAAATGAACTGAACATTCAGCGAACCGTTCATGAACCGTGCGGCGGGAAGTTCGTTTATGTGCGTTTATTTATTAAATGAACGAACATGAACAAGATTTTTTGTTCGTTTAATTAAATGAACGAACATGAACATAGGCCTCGTTCGTTCATTTATGTTCGTGAACGTTCGGTTATGTTCGTTCGGTTATGTTCGTTCAGTTATGTTCGTTTATGTTCTTTCATTTATGTTTAACCCAATCTTCTTAAATCAATTTTGGTGATCAATTTGTAAGTATCTTTAAAATATTAATTAATATGATATTATGATGACCAACTCCATAATTAACCCAATTTTCTTTGGAGATTAAATCCAATATGTTAACCAGTGAGGCACCTCGCACCTATATTCATTTTCCCATTTTCCCCCAAACCCTAGTGTTCACCGGAGAGTGGAGACGATCGCTAAAAGCTTCAAAACAAGTTATATTATAGTGCAATCTGAAGTTTTACAGGTCTGTTTTCATATCTTTCTCTATTTTATTTGGCTTAATAGTTGATATGTAAAGTTATTGCGGGTATCTTCACATCTAAAACTCAAGAAAACATCATACTTCTTTCTAGAAATAGATGGGAAGATAAAGGTAACAATCGGAAGTATATTAGCATCAGTAAAGAGAAAAATATATAGAATTTGGCAGAAAACAAAACAAAGGTTTCTATGCAATTTCTGAAAAAGAGTATAATAGCGGAAAATGATTGTTCATATGTAATCATGGACCACTAAGATAAATTTTATAGCGTTAAATTAAAGTCGTGTGAGTCATTTAATATATTTAAAAGATCGATCGAAATATTTGATATCTTCAAACATTTCATCACTGCTAATCAGCTCTTACGCTATATCACTGTAGATTTGGTTGATTTGCATTGTCGACTATTTTTCATGAAAGAACAATAGAAGGTAGGGTCTCCAACGTTTATGTTCGTATTCATTTATGTTCGTGTTCGTTTATGTTCGTTTATTTATTAAATGAACGAACATGAACAAGTTATATTCCTTAATAAATGAACATGAACAAAAAAAATTTGTTCGTTTATGTTCATGTTCGTTTATTTATTAAATGAACGAACATGATCATACCTGCATTTATGGTAAATGTGGAAGCCAACCAGGTATGGTGAATCCCATCTGCAAATGCACACTACTCATCTACACCCTTCCTCCATCATCTTAGCCCCATTAACTCAAATTTACACATGATCAATGAAAAGCTCCATTTCCCATCAATTCCATTTGCTATAACAAAAACTGGCCAGGGAAGGTGAAGTTTCTATACTGTAATCAAGGCTCTGTTCGAATTCTTGGGCCATATCATTCGAAAATAACACAAGGAAGTTGACTTAAGAGATGTGTGTAAACATACTCCATTTGGATCTAATTTCTTATACATAATTTATATAACACAAATTGTTTGTAGTATTCAAGTTTTGTTTATAAAATGGGTATACCCAAAAACGAAATAGTTTGTCAAGTTTAGTAGTACGCTTACAAGGTAGTATTTGTACATAATTTTTCTTAGTCTATGATAACACACATAGATCTCACAGACGCTGCTCGAAATCGGATCCTCTAGGAAAAAACTACATAGCGTATTCAATTCAACAAGACTAACACTGCTTTGTCCCCATTGAATATAAGTGCCAGAAGAAGGGAACCGCATATAAGTTAAGTCTGAGACTTTAAGATATGTTGCTCTTTGAAGAAGACAGCCGACTACTTCAGTGAAACATCCTTGCTATATATAAGGAAAAGGAAAGGTTGTGGACAGTTCAAGAATTACTTTTAATTTTATACCTTTTTAGGATAATTGGATAAGTAAAAATAAACATTAAAAAAAGATGCAATCAAAAGATTTATACAATGTGACTAGATTTGGGGTGATTACAAGGTGGTATATGTTAAGAATCTTTCTTAATCATTAACAACGTACACATATCCTACAGACGTAGTTGCTTGAACCCAAAATCTCTGAAAAACAATACTCTCTTTGATCACTTGACCACTCGATGTGATCTTAAATAAAACAACTAAAAATAATTGAAGAATTGAAGACTAGGATTTTCAAGTAAAAGGATAAAAGCCAAGTTATTGCTGAAATTTTAGCCTAGGAATGGAGATAACAAATATATTGATAGGGTTAGAATGAGTTCATACTAAACATCTCTGTCACTCATTTTACAACACACAGATGCAACCAATGAGTTCCATATTGAAAGGTCCGGCAGCATTCCCTGACTTGCCATATCTTCTAACCACATCACAGCTTCATATTGCCTACCTATTAAGCAAAGCCCTTTTATAAGTCCGTTATAAGTTCCGGCACCCGGCCGATGTGATTTGATCAGCATCTCCTCCAAAACCCGACTTGCTTGGACATCTTCTTCAAATATCCAATGGCTAATTCTGAATCTTCCCTATCTCTGCATTGACTTAAATCAAGTCGTAGTCGACAGCTCTTCGGAGCCTTTAAACCCTTCCTCAAAACCTTCCCAAGAATTTCTAAAGCTTCTTCAACCTTCCCGTCATCGCACAAAGCATCCAATAAAATCCGATAAATGACTATATCTTCACCACTACCCTTTTGGGAAATCCTCCAAAACATTGAATATAACAAATGGATAGCTTCATCTAACCTCCCATCATCACATAAACCCTTCATTAAAATCCTGTAACTTTCTCTATCAGGGTAACAACCTTGAAAATCCATTTCTTGGAAAATATTCAAGGCAAGATCGGAATTTTTGAATCGACAAAGCCCTTCCATTAACAAATTCAATGATCTCACCCTAGATTTCACTTCCAACTTCCAACAATTGTCCGAAAAGAGTTGATAAGCAGCTTTGAAATTAGACTCTTTCAGCACTATCCCCAAAATGGTATTAAAAGATTCAGTAAAATTGACACAATTGAATTGAGGAATGATGTAAAAGAGATTCAAAGCCTCATTTACCATTCCAGCACTTGCAAAAGTTCTGATAGCACCAACAAAAACTGAATCTTTGCACTCACAGGAATCTTCTTTCATTTGATCGATCACTTGTTTCATCTCCAGAATTCGACCGGAGTTGCCAAGAATGTTGATCATGGTAGCATAAACGGGACCATTGTGACGATAGTTGGGGTATTTTTGGTGGGCTTGATTGAAGATTTGGAGCGCAGTTAATGGGTTCTTTTGGGTTGATATAATTTGAGAGAGATACGTTGGGGTTAAAATTCTAGGCCATCTGATTCCTATCGCCAGCACAACTATCTTCAATGTTGTTTTTGCAGTTCAAAGTTTGCAATTTGAGTCTTTTTATATCAGTGAGACGTTTAACCAAACAGCTGGAGGGCTTTCTGTGTATTTCATTTGCTTTCACCACACCCTGAGGAGTTCGCCCTATAACTCCGGCCGGAGCTTCAGAAATCGGAAAACGCCGGTGTGAGTGTGGTGGTTGGCACTTGGTAGACCACAAAATCAATCAGATTTCAAAGAAAGAGTCCGAATATTAGAAGCCTAAATAACCCGACTACCATTAACGTTTGCTCAAACACACGAATAAATGCCATAAATGAGTTACTTCGTGCTCTCAAAATTGAACCAAAATGAATCTAACATCAAACATCGGTTGAGTCCGGGAGAAATTTTGATATCCACATTTTTAGCTAAAATCGAAAAACATTTAAAATACCGGTGACATGAAAAAACAAGGGTAAATTACGCATTTAGTAATTAAACTATCAATTTTGATATATTTTAATATCTAAACTTTCAATTTTCTCAAAACCATACTTAACATTTATTTTTTGTTTTATTTTAGTATCCGACCATTAAAAACATAACAAATGTGCTTGCCAGCCACCCTGCCTACAGTCATCGGCCGTCGCATCAGTGTCAATAGTCTGATGGGCATGAAACTGGACTATGTTAGTTGATTTGTCATTCTCTTGTGGTCCACCGTTCGGATTGATCATCCTTCTACTAGAGCTATACCCCGTCAGCCCGTCCGTTAAGTTTTTAAAAGCTGGGCACTAAAATAAAATAAAAACTAAACTGATACATGCATCACAAGGCTCACATCAAAGGAAGATGAACTAGCGTTTCCAATTGATCCACATGAACAAGAGCAATTTTCATTAATATGTTGCTGCTTTTCTATCATAATGTTTGGTATGATTTTGAAAAAAATTGAAAGTTTAAATAATAAATGAACAAAAACTGATAGTTTAGATTGTAAATGCTTAATTTACCCAAGAAACAAATAATGTTATTTACATTAGTCAATAGATGAAAAATTATAGGGTAAATTACCCCCAAGGTCACTAAATTATTAGATCGGTTCTATTTTAATTATTGAACAAAAAATCAATTAAATCATTAAACTATCAAATTGATTTTAATCAATTCACCGTCTATTAACGGTTAATAAAATTGTATTAAACTCCTTAAATTATGATATAAATTCTAAATTGGTATTTAAATTTTAAAATATTCTAATTAAATTCTTAAAGCATTCATATTATATGTCGTTTTATCAACCTAACCATTATTTTGGACGTTAAATGTCAACTCAAGCATGACATGAAATACGTTTAAAACATGTCAACCTGTAAATATACGATAACTTATTAAAAAAATACTTTAGATCTGATATGTTAAAAATATTAACCTTATAAATTTTATATGACAATTTTTTTAACGTAACATATAAACTCAATATACTTTAGATCTGACATGTTAAAAAGGTTGACCTTATAAATTTCGTATGACAATTTAATTTTTTGACATCACATAGAAACTCAATGTTGTTGCACGAACCAACCCTTCAGTGGTTGAAGTGATAATTGTTATCCTTAGAGGTCCTAGGTTCGAGCATCAAAGACGGTAAGATTAATTAAGCTTTGTAGATAAATGATTGTAAATTTTTAGAATAGATACTATCAATTTTGATCTATTTTAATACTTAAACTTTTATTTTTTTCAAAATCATACATAACGTTTAATTTGTATTTCATTTTAGTATCCCACCGATAAAAATTTATCCGATGGACTTAAAACTGGACTATATTGATCGACTCGTTATTCTTTCATGTCCATATCAATTGACCGTGAACTATACCTCTTTTAAGTTTTTGACACTTTGCCAAAAATAAAACAAAAACTAAATTTTATGTCAAAAATAAAACCAAAACTAGAACAATACATCTTTTATGTTTTTGACACTTTATTAAAAAGATTAAAAAGTTAAATACTAAAAACAAATATTTCCTACTTTTTAATATCATAATTGTCTTATATAATTTAATGACACAAATTCTTTCTAATTCAATCAAAATTATTTTAGAAACTTATCTTTTAAAATTTTAAATTTATTTACAAACTCCTCAAAGTAAATAAATAAATGACACAATACTTGGATTGAAATTAAGGGGCCGCACGGACGCATGCCCACTACCACAAATTATGACATAGGCTCTCCCACTTTGGGGAGACCTTAGGCGAGCGCCCCTCCCAAGTGCAATGGAGGTCGCTAACCTAGGCCATGTGTAACCCCCAGACCCGGTCTGTACGCTAGACCCAAACCCAAGTGGTCACATATCCCATTCAGAGATTATTTTTATATTTAAAACAACTTATAAATATTAGAGGTAAAATGGAACAAAATATCGATAATACAAATATATCCAGAATGATAGCAAAATCCATGACACCAAATATAACTGGAAAACATATAGAGAAATATGTTCGTACAAAATAAAAGTAGTTGATCTCCCTTGATGCCGAATCTGCTAACTTACGGTCTGTTGCTATCTGAAAAGGGTAAAATTTACATAATTAGCTAAAAAGCTCAGTGTGCTCCATACAATATATATAAAAAACATACAGATAAAGTCTTTCAATCAAATTGGTTTATGCAACGTGTTTTTATTTTTAAACATGAACACTACCTCCATCCGTTCACATCATAAATGTGTAGGTTCCCCAGAACCATACACCCAACCGCACATGCCATTTAGACCCTGAACACAAAGCCGAGGAGTCTGCAGATAATCTTCCTCCAACAATACCCCCAATGACAATATTAAACATGAATGTATTCGAGTGAAAACAATGATTAATTACTTAAAACATAAAATTGTTTCATGCTTGGAAACCATATGCAGAAATACGGAAATCAAAATTCAGATCAGTATTATATGGTAATTCATATGTCAGATAATCAGATTTCAGAAATCGGTATAAAATACCTTAATCCAGAAATTATATCAGAAAATGCGGTAAATCAGATATTAAATACTCAGTATTCAGATGAATAATTTAAAACAATAATGTAACACTGTCAGGAAACACACCTGTAACAGTCTGAGAAATCAGATAGGGAAACCTATTACTAGGTCTATCGATCACGCTCTGCTGCAGCGCTAGATCCTACGAATTGGAAAAATCCATATTGGAATCCTAATATAAATAATCTTAATCTTTATTTAAATAATTTATGGAAACCTACAGGTAATTCTCGTAGTACGCGGTTCGGGCTGATCTGACGAACGAACAACACCGAACCTAACTGATCCTCGCTCATGTAAAACATGAGTACCTTCTTAAAATATCTTACTGAATCAATTCCTTAACCATATCTCCAATAAATAATCAAAAATACTAAAATAGTAAGCATTTTTGGGTTAACAAGCTCGATTCGGGGATTTTGGGTCAGAATTTGGCAAAACAGACTTCGGAATCAGAATCAAGACATCGAAAAATATAAATATGACATTCCAAAAATTTGAATTCTTGGTCAAAGTCAAAGTCAACGGGTTTGACTGACAATTTGGAGGCTTTTGGGTTCGAATTTGGCAAAATGGATCCCAAAAACGGATTCAGGACGTCGAAAAATGTCAGGATATGTATACTCGAAAAACGCCAACGACCGTTTAATAGCCGGTCAACGCCGATCAAAGTTCTGGTCAAAGGAGGTCAACAGACAATCAACCATTTTACACAATTATCACCCTAATATAAATTAATTACAAAACTAACACCCTTTTAACAATATTTTAAAAACTAACACCCTTTTTTAAATATTTAAAAAACTAACACTCAGTCAACGGTCGGGTCGGGTCGGACTGGTTCGGACCGGTCAAACCGGTTTAAAGTTGGCCGAGACTTCCCCACGCGAGTGGCGATGCGTGGGACACTTTCCGGCGTCAAAAAAATTACGGAAAAAATTCTAAAAACTATTTTAAGCGATTTTGAGGCACTTACAAAGCTCGGTTCACAATTTTGAACGGTTGAGAGTACAATTTCAATAAATCGGAAACTTTGACCGCTTCACCTCCTCACGTGCCGTCGCCGATGAAGACAAGGAGGACACCGGCGAACTCGGAATGACACAAGGAACACGATGGTACGGGAGGTTTCGAAAACGGAGCAACGATCGGTGATAAATTTAAGATTTTCTCGGCGATGGTGCTAAAAAAAATGTCGAGACTTTGACTTGAAATTCATGGCGTTTGGCAGCGTTTCAGTTCAATTAATTTAAGGGGTTTGTTCCTCGCTTGATGATGAACACGATGGTGGTTTCAAAATGACGATCAGAGGTCGAATGACGTCGGGATTGTGTTTGGAAGTTGGGCGTTGAATGATGAAAATTTGAGAAATTGGTTTATGCAGAAACCAATTTCACGCATTAATAACCAAAGCTTGCCAACACTCTTAGGGTAAATTTAGGGTTTGGTCCCTGAATTTCCTTCATCTCTAAAACAGGCTATAAGTTTTGAGAACTTTTAATTTAGTCCCCAATTTTCACCAATTTACACAAATATTTTTTTCCGGGTTGTTACAATTCTCCCCCTCTACAAGAAATTTCGTCCTCGAAATTTACCTTATGGAAATAGATGAGGAAATTGAGCCTTCATTGACTCCAATGTCTCCCAAGTAGCTTCTGATGGGCTACAATTACTCCAATGAACTTTGATCATTGGAATACGCTTATTCCGAAGAACTCGCTCATCCCTCTCTACAACCTGAACAAACTCCTCCTCGTATGATAAATCAGGTCTCAGCTCTACCTCATTAACCTGAATGATGTGATCTGGATCTGGACG